GGAGGGGGGGAGGCTGGGAGCGGAGCTGCGGGCTCTGTCCCCGCGTCTCCTCACCGCCCGGAGCGCCGTCCTGCTGGGCATGAGCCGTTCCGTTGGGACGGGGCTTCCTGCGGGGAAGGTGGGACAAGAGGGGCAGACAATAAACCCAGGAAACGCTCTGAATAGCGAAGGTAACCGAGCCGGGAGCCCCCCGTTCTGAGTCACCGCGGAAGCGTCGGGCCCGGGACGGGGGGAGCCTGCGGGGCTGCCCCGATCCCACCGCACAGCACCTCGGGGGGTTCCGAGCCCCGCACGGCGCTCACCGCTGCCTGCGCGTCCCCAACGCCTGACCTCGCGGCCCCTCGTTAAGTGCTGCCCGTGTTTTTGCCCCCCCGCCTGCCCCGTGCCGGGCGCTGACAGCCCCTCTCCGTGCCCGGGATCCCGCGGGGGAGGACAGTCGGGGTCTCCCCGTGCCCCACGCAGGAGCTGCCCGCGTGTCCCGCAGCTCAGGGCTCCAGGCCCCATCCCCGGGGCTCGGCCCCCGGCACCGGGCGGCTCGCACGGCAGCGCGGGGCCCGGCGGTGCCCTCTGCGGGACTGGGGCTCACCGCCCCGACCCCCCCCGCGCCGAATGATTTACGGGCGAGGGAAGCGCGCGGCGCAGACAGATCGAGCCATAAAACCTCGGGGCAGGAAGTCTCGCCAACTTCAAAGGGCCGTGGCCACAACGACGGGGGTCGGCGGGTCCAGCGCTGCGGCGCGGGGCGTTGGGGCCGTGGGTGGCAGCCGACCCTGCGCGCACCCCGCATCTACCGCGCCCCGCGCCCGCGTGCGTCCCGTGTGCGCATCCCATGCGTGCGCGCAATGCGTGCAGTGCCGGTGCGCCCCGTGTGCCCCCGCTGTGTGCGCGGGGCTGGCGGTGCGGAGCGCAGCGGCTCTCGCTGCCATCGGAGCCCGGTGAGGCTCTCCGGGGCGGCGGCCCCGCGGCGTCCCGACGCGTATCCCCCCCCCGCCCCCCCGCGCCCGGCGGCACGCAGGAAGGCAGGGCGGGGCGGCCGAGCAAACAAAGAGCCGGAGGAAACGCCGCCGTCCAAGATAAACCGGGGAAGGTGAGGGGGTGCCCTCCCGCCCCGCCGCTCCCCCCCCCGGAGCTCCCGAGCGGAGCTGGGAGAGAGGGGCCCGGAGGTGCCGGTCCCGGCGCCCCGTTTCCAGCCCTCCCCGCCCCCCCGCCCGCAATTCCGGGGTTCGTTCCCCGCCGGGTCGGGGGTCCCAGCCCGGGCCGGGGGGGGGGGGGCCGGGAGGCTCGGGGGTGCCACCACTCCGCGCTGACGCCGCGTGCCGGGAGAGTTTGGAGCCGCATTCCCACGCTCTGCGGCCGCGTCCCACGGGGCTGCGCGGCCCCTCCGTCCGCAGGAAGGTGCCCCCCCCCCGCCCTGCATTCCCACGGCGTCCCGGTGCCAGCCCCGTGCCCACATCCCGTGGAAGCGGGCGGGGAACTCCGCGGGGCCGTGCGGGACCCCCGGGCCGGGAGCAGCGCGGGGGATCGCGGCACAGCGTGCGGACCCGCCGGAACCGCTCGGCGTCGTTTAAAGACGATCAGGCGGTGACAGGAATTAAATTGTGTTTTGATTTTCTCATTAGCCCGATCTGCGGCGCGCCTCGTTACGGGGTAATTTCCCCGCTCCGACGTGACAGCTCATTCCCCCCGTGACAGCCGGGTGCCCGCGGGGGATGTCCGCGCCTCCACGCGTGCGCGCGGGGTGGGCCGCCGTGCGGGATGCGAGCGGGGCGGCCCCGTTACCCCCCCTCACCCCGCCACCACGCACCCCGCCGCTCCGCTCTGCCCCCGTCCGCCCGCAGGAGGCGCCGCCAACCCCGCTGTGTGCGGCGGTGCGTGCGGGCAGCCGGGCCGGCGGTGCGGGGCCGTGCGGGGAGGCGCAGCAGTGCCAGCACCGCGAGCTGCGGGAGCAGCGCAGGGCCCGGTCCTGAGCCTGCCTGTAGGATGGGGGGGTGGGACGGGGTCTGAGGGGCTCCCGAGCGCATTACATGAGGTCTTTGTTGGAGGCCCTGCGGCCCCACAGCCGCCCCCGGAGCCCCGCAGGACCCGCTGCAGCATCCAGCAACCACCCGCCGTGCTGCAGGGAAGGGGCAGTGAGCGCAGAGATGGGGGAGGTGGGGGGCAGCAGGATGGGGTGCCCCACAGCCGTGGTACACAGGGAGCGGTGATGTCACAGAATCACAAAATCATCAAATATCCCGAGTTGGGGGAGACCCCCGAGGATCATGGAGTCCAACTCCTGCACTGCTCAGGACCACCCCAAATCCTTCACCCTCCCTTTGCCTGCAGCAGTCCCACATCCTGCACCCCTCACCCCATGCCCTTAATCCCACACGGTGAGGTGACACCCGCAGCCCCGCAGTGGGACACGTGTGGGGACATCCACGCCTGGGTGAACCAACCCCAAAGCTTTTGGGGCTGCTGTCAGAGCCCCAGGCTGCCCCTAACGAGGCCCAGCCATGCTAACGAAGCAGTGACTCCCACGCACTGTGGGGCTGGCTGTGGGCACAGCTGTGCCTTGTTGGTACCAAGGGCAGGGTCTGCCCCAAAGCTTCTCCAGTGCCTCGGGGCAGCATGGGGGCTGTTGGGTCCCACTTTGCTTTTGTGGGGGGCATGCAGTGTTGGTGCTGCTGGGCTCTGACTGCACTGCTTGGGGCTGGTTGCTGGCCCTGGGTTCCCCTGCGGGGTGGCTGCTCGGCTCCCTTGGCTTTTTCAAACCTGCCCAGCCTGCTCCACTGTGATTTGTAGGGATGCTGGGGGGGTCTGTGGGTGCTGCAGCCCCTCCTGCTTGCAGTGCTGGAGATGGGCGGGATGGGGCTGTGCCCTCAGCCCAGTCCTGGCATTGCTGGGGGTGAGGAACAATGCGAGGGGCTGCTTTAAAAAACAAAGAAACCAAAAAGCCCCTTGAGATTTTTCTCTCTCCATATATATATCTCCACGTATTTCTTCTTTTTGTGTGTCTCCTGTTGCAGGGCGAGGGCTGCAGCGATGATCAGCCCAAACGTGTGAGCAGCTCTGGCAGCGATGGGCCGTGGAGGTGAGCGCTGGGGGGGGGGTCACACACTGCGGGCTCTGAGACAGCGAGGATTCAGCAGAGACCATTAAAAAGCTTCCACCGACCTCACAGGGCTCCGTGCTGCCTCACCAGAGGCTCCGTAGTGCTCTTCAGATAACAGATTGAGCCGAACCCTACAACTTCAGCCTTCCTGCTCCAACACAGATGGGGGTGGGATCTGTCCGTACCCGCAGGGACCGGCACTGCTGAAGCCCCCCCCGGCGCTATGACCCCCCCCAGCCCGGCATCACCGACGGGCGGCTGCGGCCACCGACCCCAAATCCCCACCCAGACCCATCGCCGGCCCCAGGCCCCTCTCGGATCCTGGGTTTGGTTCCCCGCCCCCAAGCACCCCGCGCCGTGGGGCGCTGCAGCAGGGCTCGGCTCCTGCCCTGTAACACCGGGGCAGCGCCGGCATCCCCGCGCAGGGCCGGGCGGAACGGGGGGTGGGGGGGGTTCAGGTTTCCTCTGTGCCGGGCTGGAGCCGGTGCCATTAAGCCCCCTCGGAGCATGACGTGCGGGCGGGATATCAAAGCGCCGTGACCGCAGCTCACAGCCGCCCCGACGGCACCGCCCGGCCCACGCACCATCGCGGCAGCCGTCCCTCCCCGCGCCCCGTTACGGCGGGGTGCCGTGCGGGGCCTCCCCGTGCCATCCCGCACCCTCGGGCTCCGCCGCGTCCCGCAGCCCCGCACCCCAACGGGGCGGCAGGGCAGCTCCGCAGCCCCCAGCAGCCCTCTCCCCCCGCGCAGTTGGTTTGCATTAAGCCCCGCGCTGATAAGTGGGGCCGCGGGACGTGCGGGGGAGCGCCGGGCTCCTCTTCCTGCTCCGCGCCGGGCGAGCGGCCCCAGAGCCGCTGCTGACAGACACGGGCGGCCCCGACGCGCCCCCGCCGCCAGCGCGACCCCGCGGCCCCGCTCCCCGTTGGGTGAGACCCCCCCTCCCCTCGGGCCGTCCCCCCTCTCCCCGCCCTCGGCCGCTTTTTGCCCGCATTTCCCCACGTCCTTCGCGGCGGCCGCGTGAGGGATGGCCGACAGCTGGGGCGGCCGCGCCGGTAACCGGATCCCCCCGCCGCGGCGCGGGGTCAGAGCGGGGCGGGGGCGGCCCCGGCGTTGGGGTGCCCCGACGGGCCGGGCCGGGCGGCCGCCGAGCCTCCGTCGCTCCCGGGGCACCGGCACCTGTTCCTCCCGCCCGGCCCCGCGCCGCTCCCCGCCGGCAGCTGAGCACCCCCCCCCCTTTCCGCCCCCCACCGGCGGCCGCAGATGGCGGCGAGCGCTGCCCCGCCATAGCGGTAATGAGGCGCGATGCGGGGGGGGCCGCCCCGCGCGGGCGATCCGAGGGCCCGTGGCTGCATTACGGCTCATTGTGCGCGGGCAGCGGGGGGCAGAGGCGACAGCCGTGCCACCCCCCCGAATTCCCCCCCCCCCGCCGCTCCTCGGCGGCGTTCTGGCACCGGGGGGGGGGCGGGCCGTGCGCCAGGCGGCCGCGACGGTGATGGATCGGAGCCGCGGCCGAGAGGGGCGGCGGGGGGCGGGAGGGAAGGGGAGGGGGCTGCGGGCCCTGAGCCCCCCTGGCGCAGCCCCAGTCCACTTTGCAGCCGCGCTACTGAAGCCCACAGCGCAGTGCTGCACCCCGCAGGAACCCCCGTGCTGCATCAACCTCAGCATCCCCCCCACCCCCTATGGTGCTGCACCCCACTGCGCGTTCCCTCACCCCCCTGCATGCACCCCATGGCTCAGTGCTGTACCCCCCCAGCTCCCAACACTCATACTGAGGGGCGCTGACCCCCCCACAGCCCTACATCCCAAGGTGAGGGTGGGGAGGGGACTCAGCGGGATGTTTCCCCCAACTTTTCCCCCCTGAGGACCCCAGCAGGACCCCCAGCCTCATATGTGCCACCCCCATAAAGGACGTGTGATGGATTTTCAACAGTTTTATTCAAAAAATAAACTCAAGCGGGAGGGGTATTAAGTTAAAGAGGGGAGCAGGGGGGGGCAGGAGCAGGGCTGTGCTGCAGGGAGGGCAGCACCCGCCCCCAGCCCCTACCTCCTCTTGTCCTTGATGCTGTAGTGCAGCAGGAGCGGTGCAGGCTGCAGGGCAAGGAAGGGGTGTCAGCGCAGCAGCAACCCCCCCCAGCACTCCGCAGCTTCACTCCCTGCCCCCTCAGCATCTCCCCCCCCACTCCCTGCCCCTGTGGCCCAGGGTGATGTGCTCAGTGCTCAGTGAACTTGTCCCAGCCCTTCTGGGACGCCCCTCTGACCCGCAGCACCACCGAGCTCCGTCCTGCACAGAGCTGCTGCCCCACCACGGGCACAACCCGATCATAGTTGCAGCGAGCAGCATCCATCATCCTCCACAACCCCCTGCTCCGTGACCTCAGCCCCCGCCCCTCTCCCCCCTTACTGCAGGGTGGGGGTCCCACCCCGACGCCCACCTTGCCAAACCAGCGTGAGAGCCAGAGCTGCTTCATTGTCATGTGGTCGGGGAGCATCTCGCCGTTGAACAGGATCTGCACCTGTGGGCAGGGCTGTGCCATCATCAGCTTGAGCTCACAGCCCCCTGCTCCCCCCCAGCCCGGCCCACACTCACGTGCTGCAGCGGCAGCCCCAGGCGGTGGCAGAGGACCTTCCGCAGGTGCCGGATCTGCGCCCGCACGGAGCACCTCACGTACTTCTGCTGCAAAGGGCAGAGCCATCAGGGCAGGGTTAGTGCTCTGTGGGGCAGAACTGGTCCCCAAATGTCCAAAGTCTGCAGCAGCCATGGGACAACCACACCAACCCATGGTCAGGGGGTGCCCCAAAGAACACAGCCAGCCTCAGGGCAGAGCCCACAGTTCCCAGATGCTTACCTGCAGAACAGCCTTGCTCTTGTCCTTGCTGGAACTGCAGAGAAAAGAGAAGGGGCAGCCCGGGGGGCTCCTGTGCACGCCAAGGGGCTGCAACCCCATTGCCATCCCCCTGGGCACAGCCTGGCACACAGCGCCCACAGCTATCATCCCATCCTGGAGGTGGGGGCTGCCCTGATCCGAGCACCCCGTGCTCCCCATCACGGTCGGGGTGGCAGCAGGGCAGGCACGTGGCTGAGCTGGCAGCTGAGCTGCAGCCATCGATCCCAGCACAGCTCCCAGCGCTGCCGCTTATTGACTTTGCTGTCAGGAGTCGGCAGGCAGCTGCTCAGTGCCCTGCACTGCATTTATTAATGCTCAGCCCTCCAGGAAGGGGCGATGTGGGGGGGGGAGGGGGGGACAGAGCTTTGCAGCGGGGGCTGCGCAGCTCTACAGCCTGGTAACAGTGGGAGCAGACAAGGGGGGGGATGTGGGAGCTGTGGTGCCCATGTGGTCCCTCTGCTGCGCTCTCCACTCGTACCCACAGCGAGGGGCAGCTCAGCAGAATCGCAGCTCTCACCTCTGCTTCTCCAGGCACAGCGAGACGTGCTCGTCGTAGCGGAAGTAGTGGGCACGGGAATGGTCGAAGGTGCTGTAGGGCAGCCCCATGGGGTCACCCCCCACCGTGTCTGGGAAAAGGGAGCAGCAGTGAGCCCCCCGCTGCCGTCCCCGTGCCCCCCCACACCCCATCCCCACGCCCACCCACCCTCGCCGCTGGGCTGCGTCACCCGGTCGAGGCCACGGGACTGGTAGAACTCCCGGATCCTCTTCTCTTCACCTGTGGGCGAGAGGAGCGCGGTGCTGAGGGTCCCCTGGCCCCTGAAGGCTCCCAGCCCCATGGTGCCCAGGAGTGGTGTGGCGGTCCCTAGCTGCCCCTCACTCATCTCCCAGCTCTGAAGGATGTTTGGCAGAAACCATGAGCTGCCCTGCAGTCCCCCATCCCCGCTCTCAGCATCCCTCAGATCCCCTCCTGCATTCCAGGCTGCAGGGCCGTGGTCCGCCCTGCACACTTGCTGCGCTCCCACCCCAGCACAAGCAAGTTCCCATCCCCTCCATGACAGCACTCAGAGCCCCTCCGCCTGCCCGCTGTGCTGGAGTGAGCTGACATTTCTAGACACGTCCCCAGCGCCGTCCCCTTCCCCATCCTGAGTGACGGGGGCTGATCGGAGCCCCCCCACCACCGCTTTGCATTCATCACAACCACTCGCTGTGGCTGCGCTGTCACTCACAGCCCGGCCCATGGGATGCTGAGCGCGGGGCTGCTCCTGCCACCCATCCCTGCAGCACAAACCGCCCTCCCAGCACTCACTCTCCTGCAGGCCGGGCACCAGCTTGTACACGATGTCCTGCATGACACGGTCCAGCTTCAGGTTGAGCAGCGGCTGCGTCTCGTGGATCTTGGTGTTGCACATGGGGCAGTACTTGCTGGTCTGCAGGTACTTCACGATGCAGCTCTTGCAGACTGAGGGCGGGGAAGGGGAGATGAGCGGGGCGGGCCGGGCGCGGGGGGAGGCCAGCACACGGCCCCGCAGCACTCACAGGTGTGCAGGCACTCGGTGATGGTGGTGGCGTCGATGAAGTACCCGGCACACAGACAGCACACGATGTGCTCGTTCAGCTCCTTCATCTTCACCTTCACCTCCTCCTGCGGTGACACGGCGCCGTCACCCGGCCGCACGCCATGGCAGCCGCCTGCAGCCCCCAGCCGCCCCACGCCCCCTGCAGCCCCCAGCCCCACCACGCCGCGGGGCTGCCCCCCCCCCCACGGCCCCGCCCCGCCTCACGCACAGGTGCCGAAGCCCCGCCCCCCTCCGCGGCCCCGCCCCCACACCTGCGCCAGGCCCCGCCCCCGCCCGAAGCCCCGCCCCCTATCGCCCGCCCGCCCGTGCGCATGCGCACAATGCCGAGGACGGCGCCTGCGCGCCTCGCGCCCCCCGCTCCGCCCCCGCGCCCCCCCGCCGCCGCTCGCCTCGTTCCGCAGCGGGTCCATCTTGTAGACGGCCTGCAGCTGGTTTCGCAGCCGCATGGCGATCGCCATCGGGCCCCCCTGAGGAGGCGACGCCATCTTAGAACCTCCTCCGCCCCCGCGCACTTCCGGGTTCGGGCCGGGGGCGGGGCCGGGCGCCGCTCCCTGCGACCACAGCTCCCGGCGTGCCCCGCGCCGCGCCAGGAATGCTGGGACGGGAGGGCGCGGCGCCCCCTGCCGGGCGCGGCGCGGAGCTGCGCAGTGATCGGGCCCACCCCTCCGATGGCAGCCAATGAGGGAGGGGGGGCGGGGCTTGAGGGCGCAGCCGCAGCCAATAGGAGGGCGCGTGGTGCCGCGGCAGGCCGGTAGGGGGCGCCAGATCACTGCAAGAACGGCGCGGAGGGGAAGGAAAAACGGGGGGGGAGAGGGGGAATAAATGGTGGTTGGGGGGGAGAGAACAGAGATTGAGGGGAATTAATGGGGTGAACTGGAGGGAATGAATGTGGGAACAGAGGGGAATGGATGGGGGGAATTGGGGGGAATGAATTGGGAACAGATGGGAATGGATGGGGTCACTGGGGTGAATGGGATGAAATGGGGTGAATGGGGTTAAGTGGGGTGAATGAATGGGGGGGTGTGTGAATGAGGGCACTGCTGGGGTGAATGGGGTGCAGGGGGTAATGGGGACCTGGGGTGAATGGGAGCTGAGGAGGAAAGGATAATGGGGTCCTGGGAAAAGGGATATAAGGGGAATGAGGTGTCTGGGGAGTGGGACAGGAGAAAATGGGGAGAGCTGGGTTGAATGTGTGAACGAATGTGAGCACTGGGGTGAACGGGGGCTGAGGGTGGGATAATGGGGTCCTGGGGAATGGGGTATGAGGGGAATGAGGTGCCTGAGATAATGAGATAGGGGGAAAATAGGGTGGGTACGGCGGTGTAAGGGCACTGATGGGAGACCACCAGGAATGTCCTGCATGGGATGGGAACGGCCTCAGCAGGGCTCTGGGGTGAATGGGGATGGGGAGGGGATGGAGCTGTTGGGGGGGCAGGGGGTGAGGGTTCAGCAGTGTGGTTTTACTGACTGGGGCAGGGACGGCCTGAATGCCCAAAGCCAGGACCCCCGGGCCCTTCTCTGCCATGTGTGGGGCGGGGGGCTCCGTGGGGCAGCCCTCGTGCCGGCCGTGGGCACGGCAAGCACCTGCCCGGGGCTGCCTGAGGGTTGGGCTTGGGGGGCAGCGGGTGCGAGGGGCCGGGGGTGCGGGGCACGGCGGCTTAGGGGTGGTGTCGAGGTGCGGGGCCGGGGGCGGGGGGCACTGCGGGGCCGGGCGGCCTCCCCGGCGCAGCAGCCGGAGCCTGGAGCCACGCTAATGGGGGTGATTGGATCAGGGCTCTGGAGGGGAAGGAGCGGCCCCGCTAATGCAAAGCAGAAGCTGTTAACGGCCGTAATGGCTCGTTACGGTTACGATTATTGCTGCAATCCCCAGCAACAAGTGCTGCCTGGGGAGCCGCCGGGGCCGGGGCCGGGGCGGGCAGACGGCGCGGCCCCGTGGGACCCGGAGCGGCGCCCGGCGCTGTTGGGCGGCCCCGGCGCGGTGGGGGGGAGTCGGGATCGGGGTGCCGTTAAACTCGCGCAGAGCCACCATAAGGGCTACCGGGGCCGGGGGCAGCGGGGCCGGGCACGGAGCCCACGGGGGGAGCAGCGGCTCCGCTTTGTTGTTTCGGTCCGGGCTCGGCTGGGCAGGGCGGGGCTCTGCATCCCCGCGGTGCCCGCAGGAGCCGAGCGACCTCCGCTCATTGGTTGGGTGTGCGGGACCGAGTGCCTTCGGTGGAAGATCCGGACACCGATTTGTGTGCCGCAACAACCCGGCACACCGAGCCCTGGCTGCCGCTGGCCTGGCTGAGTCCTGCTGGTCCACCCAGCTCCTCCTCATCCCTACCGGACCCCCCGAGCCCCGGTCCTGGCACAGCTCTGGGCTCAGCCTCGGCCACCTCAGCTCCTCCACATCCCAGTCGGCCCAGTTTGGCCCTGTCCCTGGGCTGGATAGGTCTGGCCAGGCTGCGTGGCTCCGCACATCCAGTCCGGCCCTGCCGTGCATCCCCCGGCGCGTCGCTGAGCTGTCAGCCATCCCCCCCCCTCCCGCCGTGCTCGGGAGGGGAATCCGGGCGCTCCAGGGGGCCCACGGGCCCGTGAAAGCCCCCCCACTGCTGGTTGGAGCCTGCCCCATCCCCGACCCCGCCCCATCCCCGACCCCGTCCTTGCTGGGCGGTGAGAAATGAGGCAGGGGCCGGGGTGACCGCCCGTGTCTGGGGAGGGCGCGGGAGGGCCCGGCCCCATTTGTACCTGCCAGGAGCAGTTCCTGGGAGGGACGGCCGTGCTGGGGGGCTGCGAGGGTCACAGCTGGGCCAGCACAGCCCTGGGGCCAAGCAGCATCACTCACTGCCAGCACCGTCCTGCACCACGTGCCGGCACAGGGCTGAGGACCGGCAGCACACCGACGGCAGCACCGTGCTGAGGATGGGCACAGCACCGAGCAGCGCTGCGGGCCACACGGCCCGGAGCAGCCACGGGCTGATGGTTGGAATAGGTGATCTCTGTGGTCTTTCCTTACCAGAGTGACTCCATGAGTGCAGCCTCCTTGCCGTGCAGCTTCCAGCACTCGTGCCCTGCACGCTCCCTGGCGTGTCCACCCATGTGTGTAGTGCCCACACACAGCCTTTCAGCACAGTGTTCTCTCAGCCGCCTGAGCAAAACCGTGTCCCAGGTGGTGGCCGTGGGGGCTCAGCTGGGGCTGTGGGGGCTCAGCTGGGACAGGACAGGCCTGGAAAGGGGCCGCAGGGATGGGCACCAAGGGGAGCCCAGCAGCGTGTGGGACAGCTCACCTGGGGACGTGCTGTACTCTGCCCTTGGTGTGCCCTCTCCCCACACCCTCGTGATGCACTGTGCTGTCTGGCACAAGTGCCCCTGCGTTGCACACCTTTGTAACCTGGCACACTTGTCACCTCACACTGCTCGTGCCCTGGCACAGTGGCAGTGCCACGCTGGGCAGGAACATGGCTGAGGAGGGGTGTGCAGTGCCGTGGGGATGGGGTCCGAGGGGGGTTAAGGGCTGCAGCGGGGACCGATGCGCCCCACCGACCGTTTGCAGCCTGGCACCGCGGGGCCGCGCGGCTCCATCCGCAGATACATAATTAATGCACCCCTGAGCTCCGCGGGGCTGCGGGGCGGGCCGGGGCTTTTAGCAGAGACCTGCTCAAATATTCAGCTCCATTTCCGCCGCGCGGGGCTGGGCGGCTCCTTCTGGTAAGCGCTGCGGGGGCTTTCCCGGCCCTGGGGTGCGGGGCGGGCGGGCCGTGCCCGGCGTGGGGGCACCGTGCTGAGTCCGGAGCTCTCGGGATGGCACAGAGCAGCAGCGCTCCGGGCCGGGGCTGCCCATCCCGCTGCCACCCCCGGTGCCATCGGCTCCTTCCCGGCTTCAGCGCGGGGCCCCCAGCCCCGCACCAAGACCAGCCCCACACCAGGACCAGCCCCACACCAGGACCAACCCCGCGAGTCCCGGTGCTGGGGGGCTCCGAGGATGGTCGGCGCCGGGGGGTTCGTGGCAGCGCGGCCGCTGGGCGCGGGGCGGGGGGCTCGGAGGGGGGGGGGGGGGGGGGGGGGGGGGGGGGGGGGGGGGGGGGGGGGGGGGGGGGGGGGGCTGGGCAGTGGTTATGGACTGAACTCCCTGCCTAATGCACCTGATTGGATTTGCAGAATCCAATTACCTGCCCTCGGCCTTTGATAACGAGGTTCTGAGCGACGGTTTCTGTCAACGGCCCCGCGGCAGAGAGAGCTGCGGGCACTCGGCACCCCCCGGCCCGCGCAGCCCCGGCCCGCCGGGCAGAGCCCGCAGCCTCGGGGGAGGGGCCGAGGGCGGGGGGACCGAACCCCCCAGAATCACCCGACCCCCGCGGGGATGGGGGCAGCGGGAGCCCGGGATGGGACGCGCGGCACACACTGCAGGACCGGGGGCGGCGCACCCCCCTCTCGCTCTCCCGCTCCTCCAGCACCCCGCACCCTGCCCCACGGCCGCAGCCCCACGCCCTGACGCCGTCAGCCCCACGGAAGCTTCGGGGCCTCGGCCGTCGACCCCGCTGACTGCAGTGGTGTCCCCCCTTCACCCCTCAGGACAGCGGGGCGTGCTCCGCTTCCCCCCTCCCCCCCGCGCCTCCCGCCCCCCGCTCCCGTCCCACAGAGCTGCCGGAGTGGACGCAGGGAGACAGCAGCGCACACGCTGCCCCCGGCCCGGAGCTCCCCGTTCCCCAGAGGCCGCCCCGAGCCCCATCTCCGCGCCCCCCGCCCCGCCCCGCGGCCGCAGCCCGGCGTGTAGGGCACCCGCGCAGCGCGGGGCCGACGCACACCGCTGCCCGTCGCGCACAGCTCCTCCCCGAAGGCGCTGCGCAGCCGCCGACGGTCACCGCGGTGACGTCCGACCGGGGCGGCTTCGGCCGTCGGGGGTCGTCGGGGCGCGGCGTGCGGGGCCGTGGCCGCGCGGTGCAGCTGCCCGAGTGCTCGGCCCGGCCCGGCGCTGCCGGTCGTTACCGGGGGGGAGCGAAGCGTGCGTGCCACCGCGTCACCCCCGCACCCAGCGGTTGCCAGCGCCCGGCCCGGGGCCGGCGGGTGCGGGGCACCGGGAGTGTTTCATGCGGTTAAGAAGTGTCTGATTGAGGCAGGAGGCGCCAGCAGCTCCCACGGGAGCCGCAAGTCAAGGACTGGAGGACCAAATGCAGGCTAAAGTAATCCAATCTGGGCTGGCTTCATCTAATTAGCCCAGAATTAACCCAGCAGCCAGAGAGGAGCTGACTGTCCCTACAGTTTGCCAGCGGGTTTGGGGGGGAAGCGGGAGGAAGAAGGGGACGTCCAGCGATAATGAGATTAGAGGGGGAGCGGGCGGGAGAGGGCGGCTTGGCAGCAGCTCCCGGTGGTAACGTGGGGCCCGACCAGGCCTCCGCCGCTTAATTGCCGCGCGCTGGAGCGGCTGGCAGCGGTGAGGGGCGGGCAGCGACCCGCGGTACTCCGTCCTGCCCCCCGGCACAGCGCCCGAGCCCGGCAGGGAGCCGTGCGGGGCACGGGGACATCGGCGCGGGGCTCCGTGAGCTGCAGAGCGGCAGCCCGGGGGGAGGGCACGGGGTGGGGGCCGCTGCAGAGGTTCTGCGGGGGTCGGCTGCGATGATGGGAGAGCCGTGGGAAGGCTGTGGGATCTGTGCTTCCATCCCCACGGCTGTGCCGCGGGCCGGGCGCCTTGCGGGGTTCTGCGGGGCAGCGGGATGTGGGGTGCAGCTCTGCTCAGCTCACGGCCCCTGTGGGACCGGTGCGGCTCCGGCAGCAGCAGGGCCTGGTGCTGCAGTCACTGCGGGCAGCGCCGCGGGACTGAAGACTAATTTTCCACCCCGGCCCATGCGAGCGCCCCTCTGCCCCATCCTCTCGCAGCTGTCGGCGCCACGCGGGTGCCCGCCCATAGGGGAGACCAATGGGCCGCGTGTGGGAGACCGCAGAAGTGTGAGCTGCGGGTGGGGAACGAGGAGCAGAGTTGTGTCTGAGTGCATCGGGCTGTTCCCAGCCCTGTCTCATTGCAGGTGTGTGTGAGGGTCCCTCACCGGAGCCCCGCGGTGCACGCAGCCCTCACTCAGGCACCGGGCAGAGCCGTGGGGCAGCCTGGCGGCGGCTCACAGCCCCGGCTGCTGCTGTGAGAGGCTCACGGGGCACACGGGAGCAGCGAAACTGGGAGATGCCGGTGGGGAGGCTTTGGGGCCTGTGAGGATTCCTGGAAAGAGAACCGAGCCGCCGTGGCACCGGTCTCACCGAGCACCCTGTGTTCCAGCACTGCCCGAGGCTCGGGCTTCTCCTGGTCCCCACAGCCCGGGCTGAGCTCCCCGCTCCGTGTGCTGCCCCGGCCCCCCACCATCACCAGACCCCGCATGGCCCCCAGCTCTGCCTCCCACCCTGAGTGGGTCGGTGAGCACCGCAGTGGGGCCGGGACGCGCCCTGCAGCTCCCGCGGGCGCGGGGCGGAGGTGCCGGTGACACGGGCAGGTGCCGCGGGGCTCATCCCCTGCCCCCCAATCCATCTCCCGGACCGCGCGGCATTCCAGCCCCTGGGCGCTTGCATACAGCTGCCTCCCGCTCTCGGTTTAATTAACCCGCTGCCGCCCGCTCCCCCTACCCCCCCCGGCACGAGGCGTTTCCTTCCCGCACCTGCGGGCTGCAGCGCTGCGGGTCGGGGCGCGGTGTCCCCCCCAAATGCTGCACGCACGGGACCGATGGCACCGGGAGCTCCGGGCGCGGGGGGCAGCTCCTGTGTAGGCGTGGGGGGGTCCACGCTGTGCCTACCCACGTAGGGTGGGGTGAGCCCGGCGTGGGTGGTGTGTGTGTGTGTGTGTGTACACGGGGGGGGTTGTGTGGGCACGAGAGGGGAGCATGGGGTGCGTGTGCACACAGCGGGGGTGGGCGCAGCTCCGGATAGTCTGAGTGGGTGCGTGTGCATCGTCACACTGTGCTCTGAGTGTGTCTGCTCGTGTGCGTGCACTGGCGCAGTGCAGGCTGTGCAGGTGGCTCCCTGCATGCGTGTGCAGCTGTGCTGAGCCGTGGGCTGCGTGTGTCTGCGTGCAGCTGTGGGTGTGCACGCGTGGGGCGGTGCCGTGGCGTGGAGCTGGGTGTGAGCACCTCTGTGTGTGTGTGTGTATCCACGCTGCACTCTCTGTGCATTGCTGTGCTGTTCTGCAGGGTGTGCAAACACACGTGTGTGCAGGCTGAGTCCCACCTCGGTGTGTGTGTGTGTGTTTTTGTGTGTTTGTGTGTATGTGTGTGTGCGTGTTTGTGCTCCCCACGCAGCACCCAGCGCAGCCCCACTCCGCATGGAGCAGTGAGTCCCGCTGAGCCCGGCTCCGCCCGGTGCCCCCGAGCCCCGCAGTGCCCCCGGGCCGTGCCGTGCCCCCGGGCCGCAGCAGCTGCTGCTCCCGGTGCCGCCGTGATTTACAGGCGCAGCCCCGGTAATGTCATTTGCCCCAGACCGGTGGCGCCAGGGCGGACGGGCGGCCCCTCCCGCGCCGGCCCTTGCCCCGGGGACGTGACCCGCAGCCCTCGCCCTGAACCGGGACCCGGCACCCATCGGCCCTGACCCACCGAACCCGAGCTCGCGGCCCGGCGCTATCGCGACAGTCGCCAAGGGCCCGGCCCGGTCCGCACTGCCCCGCCTTGACCGCGACAGCCCGATGCGTGCCCGGTGTGCGGGTGGGCGCCGAGCCCGGGGCACCCTCCGTGCCAGATCCGAGCCTCGCGAAGGGGCCCGGCTCTGGGCTCCGTGTCACCGAAGCAGACTGGCCGGGTGCGCGCTGTCGGCAACGGCGGGTCAGCGGTAACCGGGTCCGCACCGCCGGGAGCGGCGGGTGGGAGCAAACGCAGATCTGTGCCCCGGGCGTGGCGGGCGCCGGCTCTGTTTGCTGCGGGGTCGGAGTGGCCGCGGTCGGTACGTGCGGACAGCGGCGGCTGCGGGGAACGAAGCACCGGAGAGCCCCGGCGTGGGGGAGCGGCCCGCGCGAACGCATAACGGCACCGGGGCCGCTCCGTGCGCCCTGACACGCGCAGAGGTCTCCGCCCGGAGAACGGGGCGGCTCCGGCACGGCGCGGGAGGGCGGGTGGCGGCCGCGGTACTGCGCTCCGAGCGGCCCGACGGCACCGGACGGGGCAGGGCGGTGCGTGGGGGTGCGCCGCGTCGCTGCCGATGTCACGGTGGGACCCGTCCGCCGTTCCACCGCTCCGAGCCCGACGACTCTCCGGGCGGCGGGGACCGCGACGCGCCTCCTCCCCCACCGCGGCGCTTCCGACGGACCCCGACAGGAGACCCCGGAGACGCGCTGCCCGCGCCGAGCCGCGGTGGTGCGGGGGATCCCGGCGGGCCGAGGGCCGGGCGGGGGGTGGGGTGGAAGGCCCGGTGCCGAGGCCGGGGAGGGGGCCGGTGCCGGGGCGTGGCCCCGGGATGCGCGAGCCCCCGCCCCAGAGGGCGCGGGCTGTCCATCACGGGGCTCGGCCGCCAATCAGCGGGCGGGCGGCCGAGATTTTGGCAGCTCCAGATGGAGCGGGGCAGAAAAGCGCGTGCAGCCGGGGGGCCCCGCCGCGCCCCGCAGCCCGCAGCCCGCGGCCGCCAGCAGCCGCCTCCGCCGCGGGCCATGCCCCATTCCCTGCCCCGGCCTCGGCCACCGCCCGCTGCCCGCCGCCCCCCCCGCAGCGCCCCGCAGCCCGCGGCCGCCCCCCGCGCCTAGGCGGCCCCGCGATGCCCCGACTCTGAGCGCGGCGGGGCCATGGAGGCGGCGGCGGCGCTGGCGCGGGAGGGCGGCGGCGCGGCCCCCGCTCCCCACGAGCCCATCAGCTTCGGCATCGACCAGATCCTCAGCGGCCCGGAGCCCCCGGGCGGCGCGGGGCCGGCGCGGGCTGCGGGAGAGCCCGACTACCCCGGGCTGTACGGCGGCGGCTACGGCCCCGCCTGCTCGCTCGGGTCCTACAACCTCAACATGAGCATGAACGTGAGCGTGAACGTGACCCCCGCGCCCGCCGGGCCGCCCGCCGGGGTCATCCGCGTCCCCGCGCACCGACCCGCGCCGCCCGCACCTCCCGCCGCGCCGCCGCCGGTGCCGGGGCTGTCGGGGCTCACCTTCCCCTGGATGGAGACCACGCGGCGCATCGCCAAGGATCGGCTCTCAGGTGAGCGCTCCGCTCCGACGGCTCTCGGCGGCACCGACGGCGCGCGGCGCGGAGCGGCGGCTGAACGGGAGCGGGAGCGGAGCGGGGGCAGCGGCTCGGAGCGGGGGAACCGTCCGCGCCGGGCTCCGCTGTGCTGGAAGCGGCTGCGCTCCGCCGGTGCCGCACGCGCGGCTGCCTCCACGGTGCGCCGGAGGCCGCGGAGCCGCCGAACGGTGCCGTGCGGGGGCCGGGCTCCCTCCTAGCCGCCCCGCCCGCCGCGGCACCGCGCACCGGGAAGCGGCCGCCGTCGGGGACCGCGCGCTGCGGCTCCGGGTGGGCGCTGCCCCCGGCGGCCCCGTTCCCCGTTCCCGTTGGAGCCGTAGCTTCGCCGCAGCCGCTCACTGCGATGTGCCGGGAGGTCCCGACGTGCTTCGGCCGCGGGCTCCGCAGCACCGATCTGTTACAACCGCGGGGCTGCGGCCCCGGCCCACCGGGAGGAGGGATGCCGTGTGCGGGAATGGGGAGCGAGGACCCCGTGTGGGGTGCGCAGCGATACCCACCTGTGTGTGGGAAAGGGGCTGTATGGGGAGAAAACACCACGCAGCGTCTGCGGGGCTGAGCATCTGGCAATGGGATGGCAGTGAGGCTGTGAGCCCACACTGTGGGGTGACTGCGGGGCTGGAATCCTGACAGTGGGGTGTCTATGGGGCTGTGAGCCCACGTTGTGGGGTGTCTGTGGAACTGGGGGCCTGTGCTTTGTGGTATCTGCATGACTGGGGACGTGGCGGGGAGGTGCTGGAGTGGCTGTGAGCCCGTGCCGTGCTGTGGTCGTTGTGCTGGGTTGTGAGATGTGTTGGGAGGAGGACGGGGCTGTGCGAGGTGTGCAGATCCATGTGTGCATGTATGGGGATGGATGCAGGGCTGCTGGATTCTGGGTTTGGGGTGAAGCCGGGGCTGGGGTGTGAGGGAGAGCGGTGGGGTGCGGTGCAGCCGATGGGGCCGTGTGCGGGGTGCTGTGGCTGGAGCTGCTCAGGGTGCTAGGCGAGGGTTCTGTCCCCTCGTGCAGAGTATGCGGGGTGCTGGTGCCCGGTGCTGGGTGCCGGCGGGGTGAGTGAGGGGCTGTGAGCGTGGCTGAGTGCGGCTCCTTCCCAAGATGGCGGCACTGCCACGTCCGCAGCACGGCCCTGTGTGGGGACGAGGGCGGCAGATGAGGCCAGGGCTGCGGGGGCTCTGGAGGCTGCAAGGGCTGGGCCCTGTGGGTTGGGAGGTCTGGGGGTATGGGAGCCCATCCTGGGCACCGTCAGAGCCGGGTTCGCCTCCCAGCCCACCCGTTGGTGATGGAGCGCCGTCCCCGCGCATGGCCGGTGGTGACGTCCCCGTCTCCTGCCTGGCGCCAGCAGTGGGGGGACACGGCGGCCCCTCCCCGGCACGGGGTCTCCCAGCCGTGGCCATCACTCAGCGTTGGAGCCTTGGGGTGATGTTGGGGCTGTCGGCATCTGTTTGCAGTGAGGGGCCGCCCCATGTGGGGAGGGGGCACGGGGGCGTCTGTCCATCCCCCCGACTGTGCGGCTCCACCTGCACCGAGCGCTTCCGCCCCCGCCGCGGGCAGACGCCTTCCCACCACAATGATGGGGTGTGGGGCACGGATGGTCTGTCCCTGGGGCCTGCCATAGGGTCTGCCCCGTGCCCCACAGATGTGGGGTGCTGGAGCCCCATGGCAGCCCCATGGCGGCGCATTGACACAGCGCTGCCCATGCGGTGCGGTGTTGGCGATGGCCGTAGTGTCCTGGAGCTGTGCCTCAGCCATGGGCCATCAGTGCTGCAAGCACACGGCCCGGCTCTGTCCTCCTCCCGGCCCTTTGCTGCCCTGATGCTCCTGTGGCCTCGTCCCCATGTCCCTGTGGGAGGTGGCAGCCCCCTCCCCAACCCCCCCCCCTCAGCAGCTGCAGGGCGGCCAATCCAGAGGCTGCTGCGTGCGAAGGGAAGGAGACATCAGCTGCCTCCGATGGCCTCCGGGTTCCATTCCCTCTGCAGGGAGTGCTGGGAGACGGCGGGGCTTCGGCACAGCGCGGTGCTGGGAACAGGGCTGGGTTTGTGCTGCCTGGAGCCCTCGATGACCCTGGGAGTGGGACACTGTGCTGCTCGGTGAAGCTGGGGTCCCGGCTGCTGGGTCTGCTTCAGGCTCAGGCCGCAGCCAGAGCCAAGGCAGGAGGTGCACATGAGCCCACTGACCACGTTTTGCGGTGCTGTGTCCTCTGTAGGATCAGGATGCGGGGTATCCCTCCTCGCCCCCTCCCCACAGCTCCCACAGAGCTCCCATTCTGCTCAGCCCACATCCCACCCCGCGCTCAGTGCTGCCAAGGGCTGTGCCGCTCCGGCAGCGCCCTGCAGGATGGCCTTGGCCCCACTCCTTGCCGGTGGCTGAAGCGAGGGATGGGGCTGTGCCGTGCCGTGCCGTGCCGTGCCATGCTCCCCAGCACAGCCACTCACCCCCCTCTGCCCACAGCTGCGCTTTCGCCCTTCGCGGCGACCCGGCGCATCGGGCACCCCTACCAGAACCGCACGCCGCCCAAGCGGAAGAAGCCGCGCACCTCCTTCAGCCGCGTGCAGATCTGCGAGCTGGAGAAGCGCTTCCACCGCCAGAAATACCTGGCGTCGGCCGAGAGAGCCACCCTGGCCAAAGCTCTCAAGATGACGGACGCGCAGGTCAAAACCTGGTTCCAGAACCGCCGCACCAAGTGGAGGTAATGGGGGGGAGAGGGGGTTCACCTGCGGCTCCTCCCGGTGCTGCTTGGCTGCTTTGCCCACGTCCCGGCCCGGCCGGGGCGGTGGAGGTGCTGTCCCCGTGCATCCCCACAGCCCAACCCTCACCCCGCCCCTGGGGCCGTGTGTGCAGGAGGCAGACGGCGGAGGAGCGCGAGGCGGAGCGGCAGCAGGCCAACCGGCTGATGCTGCACCTGCAGCAGGAGGCCTTCCAGAAGAGCCTGAGCCAGCCGCTGCCGCAGGACCCGCTCTGCATGCACAACTCCTCGCTGTACGCCCTGCAGAACCTGCAGCCCTGGGCCGAGGACAATAAGGTGACGTCCGTCTCGGGGGTGGCCTCCGTGGTCTGAGGGCGCTGCGTGGCGGATGGGACCCCCTGTGCCCCTGGGGGCCCCGAACTGATCAGGAGGCGGCAGTGGGAGCTTCAGCCTGGAGGGGTGCGAGGCGGCCCCGACACCCAGCGGCGGGGAGGGGAGGGGGCTGCTGCTTCCTGGTGCCATCCCGAGCGGCAGCCCCCTCCCCACACCACATCCGGGCCCCCTCACTGGTGGAGCAGCAGCCCTGGGCAGGTGGACTCTGAGCAGGTGGACCCCACCCCCCAACTTTCATCCCATGTGCCTCTGCCAGCCGGGAGCCTCTGGGGGGGCCGCCCACCCTGTGCAGCTCCTCAGGACCCGATCCCCCATCAGCAGCTCCACGTGCTGGGGCAGCCCCTAGGCACCCATCCTGCCCAGGGAGGGCAGAAGCAGGGGGTGGCATTGCCCTGGACTCACACATTCCGGGTGCTGGAAACTCACTGCTGCCCCCGTTCATTGTGGGGCAGCGTCCCTCACAAGCATCATCTTATCCGGATGAGTCAGAGTTCATCAGCTTTGGCTTCCAACTGGGGGGTCCCATCGCTGGCCCAGCATTCCCTGCACACCGGACAGATGGAGTTTGTTGGCCACACGGGAGGGGCTCCCGGTGCTCCCAGCCCCCGTCTGCAGTGCTGGGCCTGGACGATGGGCAGACAGTCCCCCCACGTGGCTGTGGGTGGCAGCAGCCCCCCCAGAAGTTGCTCCCGAGGCCACCTCTGCCTCCTCCCCTCTCTGTGTCTCAGTGCAGGGCTGAACTTTTGTTCTGGCACAATGCGGACAATGCGGGCAGTGGCTCTTTTGGGTCACCCAGTGAACTCCCACTCCCCCCGTGTGTCCCAGCAGCGAGGTGCAGCCAGGCCAGGACTCGGGCAATGCAGGGCTGGGCCACGGGACCCCCCCAGCCTGCTCCAGCCCGGGTCTCGCTGCTAATGGGGCGGAGGCCCCGACCCCAACCCTAATCGTGACCCCGATTTTGGCCTTGACCTCCCCGCTGACCCCAACCCGGCCCCTGCTGCCGTGGTGCTGCCAGAACGCGACGGGGCGGACAGAAACCGCCCCGGCAACGGAGGTCGTGCACCGGCACCCGCGGGGACCGCTCCCCGAACCGGGACCCCTCGGGGCGAACCGGGAGCCTGCGGTGCCGGCGGGACGCTGCCCGCCCCCGTCGGCTCTCGCAGCTCATTGGGTTACGGACCGGGGGGGCGGGCAGCGTCCCGCCGCTCCCGCAGCTCTCCCGGGAGGAGGCGGGGCCGCCGGTGCCGGTTTCCCGACGGCGGGATTGGCTGCGACTCCGTGACGCGGCCCGTCGGACCGGGAGGGGGGAGCCGCCGCCGCCGCGCCGCCGCAGAGCCGCCGGGATGAGCGCGGGCGGCCCCGGCGGGGGGGAGGACGGCCCGGGGGGCTGCGCGCTGGGCTGGTCCGGGCCCCGCTGCTCTCCCCGCTCCCGGGGCGGCGAGGCCGTGCTCCGCGCCCGCGCAGAGGCTGCGGGGTACCGGCGGCTGCTCCGCGCCCGCGCGGCGGAGGTGGAGGCGCTGCGCGGGGCCGTGGGAGCGCTGCATCGGCAGCTGGAGGGGCTCCGCGACCGGCGCAGCGGGGAGCTCGCCAAGTATCAGGTAATGGGGGGGGCGTTGGGGCTGCTCGGGGGGTGGTCGGGAGGTATGAACCAGGGGGTGGTGCGCGATGGGGCTGGAACGGCGGGTCCCGGCGGTGCGGGGTCTCAGAGGGAGGGGAGCGGACGCTTGGGTTGGGGGGAGATGGGTGCGGGGATTGGGGGGCCCCTCGTTATTTGTGGCGTGGGGTCTTGATGGGGGGAGCGCTGCCGCGGGGGTGCAGCCGCAGCTGGGGAACAACGGCGGCTGGGAGGCGGCTGGGCTGGCGGTCCCGGGGTCCGGGTTGGGGTGCCGGGTTGGCGCTGACGGCCCGACCGCAGGAGCGGGTGGCGGAGCTGGAGCGGCAGATCGGCGAAGCGGAGCAGGAGATGGCGCGGTGTCTCCGGGAGTACCCCGCGCTGCTGCGGCTGCGGATGGCGCTGGACGCGGAGATCGCCGCGTATCGGTACGGGGAGGGGGCGCGGGTGGGGGTGGGGCACGCGGCGGTCGCGGGGCTCAGCGGAACCCCTTTCTTGCAGGGAGATGCTGGAAGGGGAGGAGCTGCGCCTGGGTGCCGTGGTACCGCCGTGACGGGGTGCCCAACCCTTCGCTGCGGACCGGGGACCGCCGGGACCCCCCGGGCTCCCGGCACCGGGCTGCTGCTCTGCGGGGCCCTCTGTGCCCCCCCGCCCCTCTGGAGCGCCCTCCACTCCCGAGCCACGGGACTCCCGGAATCCTGGAACCCGGTCCTTCCGGACCCCTTTGCTACGGGAGCCCTGGGCTCCGCAGACGCCCCCGGGAGGCTCCCACTCCCCAGCAGGGCAGCGCTCCGGGCCGCACACTCACCAGCCTCTCCAGAGCGGCAGCAGGGCTGCAAGTCCCGGCCCTGGCCCACGCGGGAGCACCTCAATAAACGCCCCGTGGCATTACCCAGCGCCCAGCGCTCCGTGTGATGGGGTGGCGACACCCAGCAGCTCCCTGTGTGTGGGGCTGCGGCTGAGGCCGTGCCCGGCGCTGCTCCACGGCTGCGTGGTCTGTGGGCCGTTCCCTGCCAGGGCTGCCTGGCTGCGGGGTCTGTGCTCGTTCCCACCCGCTGCAGCCCCCGGCTGGAGCTGCCGGCTGGATGTCCTGCAGGATGCTGGGGGAGTGGCGAAGCGGGGGTGGGAACTATAGGGCCCAGAGCCCTGCTCTCCCCCACGCACCTCGACTGAGGTTTTTCACAGAAAAGCCAAGCTCAGCTCTTTTACAGAGGTTAAAAAAAACTGTTTCAGTATAACAGAAGTGGATGGGAATGTCGGCAGCGGGTGGCTCTGGATGCTTCACCCTGGGGGTGCTGCCCTTCAGCCCCCTCAACTCCACACATTCTGAGGGCTGTGCGCCCCTCAGCCCCGCTGCATCCCGGCTGTGTCCACCTCCTGCCATCCGCTCCAGGGGCTCCAGGAGGTGTTGGTGTAGCTGTAGGGGTCCTGGCAGCTGATGCGCACCCGCCGCACGCGCTCCTGCAGGCTCATCTTCTCCGTGCCCTCCACAAAAGTGTCAACCTGCAAAGGGAAGTTTGGTCACAGCCTGGGGAGGAGCACCGGGACAACCGGAGGAGGTGGAGGGGCAGCACCTGAAGCTGGGGGCACAGCTGTCGGGGGCTGCAGTTCTTCCCCCCTCTCTTTCCCTTCCCCAGGCGGTGATGCTGCCTCACTTGGGCAGTGTTGGGGGAAAGCAGAGGTGACAGCTGGTACGATTTCCTAACCCCCCACCCCCCAGGGGTCGCTGAGCACTGCTCCTAACGATGCTGCTGTACTGAGGGAGAGGCCAGGTGGTGGTTTTGGGAGTGCGGGCAGAGGGAGGCTGAATGCAGAGCGGTGTGGGTGGGGAACAGTGGGGGTGCGGGCAGCCTGCCCCCCATTACCTTGGTGCCGTTGGGGAGCTCGTACTGCAGCCAGTAGAGGAGGGCGAAGTAGGACTTGGGGAGCGGCCAGGAGGCCGGGGGGGCCCAGGCCAGGTGGATCTGCCCCTCCTGAAGGTTTGCAGTCAGCGCCTGCGGGGGGTCGGGCCGCACTGCGGGCAGCAGAGCACAGCGGGACTCAGCGTGGAGCTGCGGCCCACTGGGGTTCCCAGCACCTCGACTTCCACCCTGGGGACATCTGTGGGCTGAGCTCACCGATATCACGGACAAAGAAGTGGATGGAGAAGTTGAGGAAGGAGGTGTCTGAGATCCCCTCGAAGCGCAGCTGCAGCGGGTGCAGCTCCTCTGCGAAGGGGCAGAAGGAGGGGTCCGTGAAGTTGGCGTTGAACCGCCCGCCGTGCCCAGCTGCTGGCACCCAGTTCCCGACGGAGCCATCGCTGTGCAGGAAGGCAGTGTGAGCGTGGGGAGCCCGCGGGGCCGGGCTGGGGGCTGTGATACCCACCTGTGTGTGAGGCGGGCGCGGAAGATGGCAGAGTGGGGCCCCATCCAGGAGCAGCGGAAGGAGCCGCGGTAGGAGTCAGCCTGGCAGGAGGCGTCCCTGGCCTCCTCTCCTGACAGGACCGGGGACAAAGGGTTGGGGTCTGCGGGGCTGAGCTGTGTGCCCCTTCCTCAAACCATCCCACACAGCCCTGCCTGTGTGCATCCTCCTACCTGCAGGCTGCAGCACGATCTTCCCCATACCCGTACCGCGTGTCAGGCAGGTCCCCTGCCTGCCCCCACACTGGTTCCATCCATCCCCACCCTTCCCCATCACTCCACGTCTGTCTCCACCCCGTCCCATCACCCCACGTCTGCCCATCCTGCCCAACATCGCACATCCCTCTCCACCCCTCTCTCCTGTCCCTGTGCCCCCATCATCCCACACCCCCCCAGCCCCAGGTACCGCTGTCCCCGACCACCACGTAGGTGCTGTCCAGCAGGACGCTGCCAGCCCAGCAGCTGTAGTTGCCGGTGGCCGGCAGGTCCAAGCCGAGGATGGTGAGAGTCTGTCCCTCGGCCACAAGCTCAGCCATTGGCTCCGGCTCCCCGTTCTGTGTCCAGGTCACCTGCAGCTTCGAGGTGTTGCATTTCACCACCACGTCCTTGTTCAGGTTCCCCACCAGAACTGGAGATGAAATGCAGAGGCTGCGGTCAGTCTGTCACCTGTGCTGTGGTGGGGCTGGGTGCCCCCCACCCCAGGTACGATTCACCCATGGCTCCCAGCCTGCTCCATCACCCCCTATCCACTCCCCATCCCTCCCTGCACCGAGTGTCCCCCTCTGAACCCCCCCCGGCCCCTCTTGCACTCACACTTTGGGGGGAATGCAGTCAAGGCGTCCGTAAGGGCGATGCACAGCGCCAGGAGCACCGGGACCGGCATCTGTGGGGAGAGGGGCAGCGTGAGGGAACGCGGCGTTGGATCCCGGGAGGAGCGGTGCCGGGGCGCAGCCGTGCCGGGGCGCAGCGGGGTTGGGCAGAGCGAGAGGAGCCGGGGGCAGCGGCTGGGAAAGCACCGCTCGGTGGGCGGTGGGCGCAGCTCCCAGCCCTTCCCGGCACGGCCCCGGGCAGGGAGTGCCCGAGTGGGGCAGCGCTTTTCCGGCTCCCCGTCGCCCCCCAGAGACCCCTCCGCCTACCTCTGCGTGCGCTGCTCCTGCTGGCTCTGAGGGTCGGGAGCTGCCGTATATATACCGAGCCGCGACCCCGCGGGGCTGCCCCAAGGTGAAGGCAAACCGCAGCAGCATCACAGTTCTTAGAAGAGGAGAAAACGGTGCAGGGCGGAGCTGAGGATCGGTACCCGCGATCGGCTCCAGCCCTGCCGGCCTCGGTGCGAGCCCTGCTTGGAGCGGGGACACCGTGAGCACCACGCTGTGCCCTGGGCCGAGGGGCAGCGCGGAGCCGCCCGGAGCGATGCTGGAGCTCCTCCGGTCCCGGCTCCCACCGGGTGCCCTCCAACACTGGGATCCATAGGGCAGGATTTTAGGGGGGGCACGTCCAGGAGAGCAGGGAAGGGATGGCAGAGCCTGTGGCAGTGCCCAGCTCGGGGGTGTGCACCCAGGGAATGGTCTGGCGATGACCCCCGCCAGCACTGGGCAAGGGTCAGGGTGCACTCCAGGTGGGAGCATCCCCCATCCTAACCTACACTCTCACACAAGTGAAGGGGAGCCCTGTAGCCCAGAGTGAATTGTCCCCATTCTGACAGCATAGGATAGAGGATAGGTTGGAGCTGCCATCCCCAGCTAGGAGCAGGGACAGCTTTCACCACACAAATTGGCTCCAGCACTGAAAGGGAGGCAAACGTGGGGCAGGAACAGGGGTGGATGGAGATGAGGGGCAGCAGATGGGGGGGATAGGGAAGAGGGGCAGCAGCCCCGGGCAGGGCATGTCTGCAAGTCTCCATCCTAGGAGTAGAGCAGAGCCAGGCTGGGGAGGGCAGGGGACATAGGCTATCCTCATCACTCCTGGTCATGTGCTTTCTGGGGTTCCTAGAAAGTGAGGGGGAAGTTCAGGCACTGATGTGGCTGTGGGGAGGCTCAGTCACCACCCTTCCGCTCAGCCTTCGAGGTGCTGTGATGGAGGATGGAATCCCTGGGCCCCTTCCTGGGAACAGCAGAGCCCTATGCGTGGGCCAGAGGCAGGAAGAGGGTAGAGCCTGATCGGTGCTGGGACCCTCAGCCTTTGCTTGCCAGCCCCAAACTCGGTGCGATGCAGGATTGGGACCTGCTGGGGGGCTGGAGAACCCTCTGGGGCAGGAAGGGGGACCTTGAAGACAGGGAAGGACTGCAGCAACTCCCCCCAGAGCATCGCCCCATCCCTCCTGAGGGGGAGCAGGGAGCTGGAATAGGGAGCCGGCTGCCCGCCTCCCCCACCCACCGCAGCTTCCCCTTCACTTCTGTAGAAAAAGAACTGCGGAGGGGAACATTTGATGCAAATGCCAGGGCTGCCCCTCGCTGTAACCGGGACAGCAGCACGGTACCCAGAATTGGAAGCATGAGTTGAGCAAAAGCACCATGCATCATGCTTCCAATCACAGGGCAGGGTCAGTGCTGGGCTCACAGAACGGCCCTCAGGGGCACACAGAAGCTGGTGGGGAGCCTCGGACGGCAGGGTGCTGGGGAGGGGTAACGGAGCCCACCCTGTCCCGAGCCCTTTGCAGTGCAAACACTACACAAAGCCAGGAGTAAAGGTCACAAAACTTTATACAGGAAAAATTCACAAGCGGCCCCATCGCTCCTGAGGAGCTGCCCCCTGCATCTGGGGAGTGAGACAGGCAGGGCCCGCGACCTCAGCCCTGCGGCCCACAGCCCCATCCAGCCTGGCCTTGAACCCCCCCGCCCCCCCAGGGATGGGACATCCACAACCGCTCCGGGCAGCCAATTCCAGCACGGGAATTGGGAGAAGTGCACGGCTTCGTCCCCGGGGAAATCACCAGGGGCCGGTCCTGCAGCCGGTGGCAGGGCAGTCCCCGGGCAGCGCTCGGCCCCTCGCAGCAGCACAGTGTCCCCAGACCACCCCGCTGTCCCGGCCCAACCCGGGCAGCCCCGCGGCGGGGGGGCTCCGGCGGCTCCCTCTCATTGCAGCACGCAGACGTCCCGGTTCTCGTCCTCCCCCCCGGCCGCCTCCTCCAGCGGCTCGGCCACCTCAGGGACGTCCTCTGCCGCCACCACCTTCTCCCGCAGCTCCATGAGCAGATCGCGGCTCTCGCTGGGCGGCAGGTTGCTCAGGTAGTACTGGGGTGCCAGCTCCACCAGCCTGCGGGGACACGGGGACGGGAGATCAGGGAGGGGGGCTGGCCCCAGGGGTGGGAGCTGGGGGCCAGACGCGGTAGGGGCAACGCTGGGAGCAGCCTCCCACAAATGGGAACCCCTCGTGAATGGGAACGGCCCCCGTCTGCCCCCCGAGGCCAGGCGTCGTCACAGGGCTCTGCTGCAGCGCTGGAGCTGCACGTGGGCGCAGCCCGGACCCTCCCCAGCCCTCAGATCCTCACATCTGGGGCTGGATCTCCGATGCCACGCGGAGGCAGTTGTCTTGCGAGATGGTGAACTCGTGGTAGAGGACCCAGGGGGGCGGGCGCTGGGGGGGCTGTCGCAGCAGGTAGCAGCAGGAGGAGGGCAGGTGGGCCACGTGTTTGTGCGTCAGCATCACGTAGTTGCCGGAGCCATCGATGTCCCGGGCTACCTGGGGAGCGAGAGGGAGGCGAACGGCGCTGCCCGGCAGTGCCCCTCATCCCACGCAGCCGGGCCCCTCGCGGCCCCCAGCCCACCTTGAGGAAGTAGCCCGAGATGAGCGCCCTCTGGATGTTGAGCACGTTGGCGTCGGTGCCGAAGGCGGGGGGTGAGACGGGGAGCTCAATGCGCTGCATCACCTCCAGCAGCTCTGCCCGTACGATGCCCGCCAGGCGCAGCGCCTCGCTGCTCAGCGCGTGTTTGCGGCACCAGCCCTCATCCATGTTGTCTGCGGGGAGAGAGGGGTCAGCAGTGCGGGACAGGGAACGCGTGAGAACCCCGCGCTGGGGCTGGGACCCCTCGGAGCCAGGCTGAGGCTCTGTGGTGCTGTGCTGAGCACAGGAGAAGCAAAGGAAGAAGCAAAGGAGCCGTGGGATGTGTGCAGGGGTCCCGCCTGGCCCCAGTCATGCCCCTGCCCGGCACTCACGCTGCTGGAAGGCATTGAAGATATTGATGAGGGTGAAGTGGTCTCCATCTGGGTGGAGCAGGGCCCGCCGGCGTGCGGTCACAGCCTCCTCGAGGCGTGTGGAAGGAGTCACAAAGCAGGGGGGAGCTGGGGACACACAGAGGTCACCGCGTGGGGCTGGATCCCGGGGGCTGCATCGTGCCCCTGGCCAGCAGCAGAGCGGCACCCACCCCGTACCTGTGAGCATGGCAGCCAGGCTGACCATCTCGTCCACGCAGTCGAACTCGCAGGAGGCGATGAGCGCCTTGGCCAGCTGAGGGTCCAGGGGGAATTCCGACATGATGATCCCCACCTCTGACAGGTTCCCATCATCATCCAGGGCAGCCAGGTAGTCCAGGTCCTCCAGCGCTTGCATCAGCGACTCAGGGGCTGGGGCAGGAGGTCAGACAGCTGACAGTGCCGCCAAGGGCAGGTGGCCCTGCCGCTGTGGACACTTCCACCCCTTTCCAGAGGGAGTGTGGACCACGGCTGGCCCCAGCTCTCCTCCCCACCCCCACCGCACTCCGTCTCAGCCCCACCTGGCCTGTCAAGGAAGTCGCACTGGCCCATGTCAGCGATGTCCAGGCGCTTCAGCAGCAGCACGAGGCGGCTGAGGCTGGTCTCACTGACGTGGGGCGCGGGGCTGGGAGGCAGGCGCTGCTCATAGAAGGCCTCTGAGTACAGGCGCAGGCAGGTGCCTGTGGGAGAGGGGCTGTGAGCAGGGGCAGGGCAGCACACCGCCCTGCTGGAGCCACACGCCAGCACCCATTGCTCCCCATGTGCCCTGAGGGGGGGCTCACCTTGGGGGCTGCCAGCAGCTCGCTGCATGCGTGACTCTGCCTGGCTCCTGCTGATGGGCCGCAGCACCTGGGACTCTGCACGGATCCGGGGGTTGTAGACCTGCAGGGTGAGCCCATGGGAAGGGACCACAGGTGAGCCCCTGTCTATGCCAAAGCTCCCCCATCCCCGACAGTGCAGAGCAGGGTCTGGGCTGTGTCTCCAGGCAGGCAATAGGATGAGCAGATGATCTCGAACCCAGACCCCCTTCCCATGCTCTCAGCTTGCCTCAGGGCAGAGCCAAGCTCCCCATCCCCAACCCCACTCACACTGCGCAGCTCCAGCCCCGTGTCGATGACAAAGCCCACAGATCCCAGAGAGAAAGACGAGTCTCCAAGCCAGTGGGTGACGACGACCCGCCGCTCCCAGCTGCCTTCCTCCGGTGCCTCATACACCTTCTGTGCTGCACGGCCCACGCCGGGATGCAGGGGCAGCACCAGTAACGGGCCCAGCCCCGGGTTCAGTGCCACAGCTTCAGTCTGGATGGCCCTGCAGCACTCAGTGATCTCCTGCAGGAAGGACAGGGCCACGAGTGATGTCGCAGCAGTGCCCAGAGGATATCCACAAACCCTAAACAGGGCTGTGCCCACCTGGCTGCCCTGGGGGAAGACCTTGGGCCCTACTGTGCCCACAGCTGAGTTGCCCCAGCCCAGAGGACATTCCAAGCTCCCATCTCAGTCAGGGCTTCCCTAGGAACTACAGACAGGGAACCCCTCCAGCCCTCCTGCCCCACGCCGGTGGCACAGGGATGCCCCAAATGCCCGAGGCATGGAGTATTGCAGCCCCACCTGCTCGCTGGCCAGGAAGAGGAGGACGTGGCCGGGCTCCTGCCGCCGGTGGATGTCCAGCACAGCCTGGCAGGCTGCTGCGACGCGGCCGTGGGCTGGGACATCCCTGTAGAGCAGCTGTGGGGACGGCCCCGCTCCGGGCACCCGCACCACAGGGGGATCCCCACAGAAGGCGCGCAGTCGCTCCTCCATGGCCGGGGAGGTCACCACCACCACCTTCAGCTCCGGGCGCTGCTGCAGGACGTCCTTCAGCAGCCCCAGCAGCACATCCGTGGGCACCGTGCGCTCCTGGGCCTCGTCCAGCACCACCACCCCGTACTGCCGCAGCAGGGGGTCCGACGTCATCTCCCGCAGCAGCATCTCGTCCGAGCAGAACCTGCGCGGCCCGGGCCCGTCAGGGGGTGGCTGTGCCTGCAGACATCCCCAGGGGAGCGTGCCTCTCCCACCCAGCGCTCGCCCTGCCCGGCTCCCTTAATGAGGCCAGGAGGGATTAAACGATTACGCCGCGGCCAGGGAGCTGAGCGGGATTAGAGCGGCACCGCCGGCACCGTGCAGCACGAGGCCCCCCATCCCCGCACCTCAGGATGGTCTCCGTGGTGCAGCAGTCCTCGTGGGGGACGCAGTAGCCAACCTCGTGGCCCAGGTTCAGGTCCATCTCATCGGCCACGCGCAGCGACAGGCTGAGGGCGGCCAGGCTGTGGGGCTGGGTGCAGGCCACCAGGCCATGTGCAAACTGCAGGGACAGGGCGTAATCGGCGCACCACTGCGGGACCTGCGAGGGGACGGTGCTGGTCGGTGGCCTGGGAGCTCCACACCCACCCTGAGCACTGCAGCCCCGGTGCCGGAGGACCTCCCGCAGCGGAGCAATGCAGGGGCACCCAGCACCTCTCACAGGCGCTCCTTCCCTGGTAATGCTGCACCTGCACCCACCGTTGCCTTTGCAGTGAGCTGCACAGCCTCATCACCCTCTGTCTAGAGCTTTCTGCCTGATCCTTGCATTAAACACATGGGACAACCACCCTCTCCAATCTCTATCTCATTGCTTCTTACTCCCACTCAAGTCTTGGCTGCTCACTTCCTTCCTAGCAGGGAAATTATTCCTCCTCTCATCACTCCCCATTGCCTGTTTCCACATGTTTCCAGTCCCGCTATGCTCAGTATGAGTATGTACCCCAGTCCATGTTAGATGGGGCTCCTCTGAACCAGCCCCTTACTCCCTTCCTGTAGCCAGATACACCTGCTATTTAACTGCAACACACCGGGCTCCTTGCCCACATCCTGCACCACGCAGTACCTGCAGGCAGGTGCCCTCGAGTGGCAGGGATCTGCTCCCATAGCCACACACAGCTCTGCAGGGACCACAGCCCCCAGCCCTGTGCCTGGCTGTGCCCACAGGTGGGCCCAAGCGTGACAGGGCCCCCTCGGATCACTGCTGTGCACAGCTCAATGCCCCCTCCTCACAAGGACTGGCACAGAGCACAGTCAGCCACAGAAACAGCAAAGGGACTGCTGTCCCAACAGCAAAGCCTGAGCATCAGCTCTTCCCCCTTTGGGCAGAACACCAATCTGCAGCGTGCTGGCACGCCGAGGCATGGGATCAGATGCTCCGTGTCAATCACGTTGTGTCTCCCCATCTGCTGGAGATGTGGTGGTTTCACGACCCACATGGTGTCTGCACCTGAGGACAGCCCAGCCCCAGGGCTACCAAGCACTGTGTGAGGCCCCTAAGGGGGGCTCCTCGCTGGGCTGTGCCTCGTGCTGAACCTCAGCTGAGCGCTGCAGCACAACTGCACCCAGTGGCTCAGAGCCCTGCAGCCAACACCCTGATAAACCCAGCGACCGGCAGCTGCTGAGCTTTGATCCAAACAGCAACCAGCCCCGTGGAGGCCCATGGTTACCCCTGCAGCTTCCAGGCGATACCTTCACAGGTCAAAGTCTGCATGACGACACCCTCAGGTGTTGTGTCAAAGGAGCACAGATGGGACGCGCTACCCCTGCTCCATGGGGAGGCCCGATCCTGGCACCATGTGCCAGCTATCGTCCAGACTGACCATCCCTGACCATCACACTGAGCCCAGAAGAGTCCCAACGCTCTCCCAACACACACGTGGCAGTGCCTCCCCAGCTCATGCAGAGGCACTGCCTGAAGCCAGCACTCCTGCCCTGGCACATCCAGCACTGCACTCGGTGCTGTTTGCCCGCCGCAGTGGGGCTGGCAATGCCACGCATGGGGCCATCCGCTGCATCAAGGCCTGCAAGCAGAGCCCAGGGCTGCAGGATGTTCATGCAGCAACAGGATCAGTGTATGGGAAGGCTGCTGCCCCACCACAGGATGCAGCCTCTCCTGACAGCAGCATCACAGCTGCTCCGTGTAGGAGCACCACAGCACAGCACAGCCCTGTGCCCATCTCAGCAGCAGCACGGCCCTGCCCTCCCGCTCACCTGTGTACTCTTGCCTGTGCCAGGGGGCCCGGACACCAACACGATGCCGCTGCTGCCCTCCAGGTGCTCCATGAAGCTGTACTTGGTGGTCCAGACAGGCAGCTCCCGGCGCTGCCGCAGCAGCTCGTAGTAACGTGAGGAGAAGGGCAGGCCATCGTACGGATTCACCTCCAGGTCCCCATCACAGCCCAGGGCTGGGTCCTCATCCTCCTCCTCGTCCTCCAGCACCGAACCGGTGCCATTCTGCTGGGGCGGGGAGCTCGAGGCCCCGCCGGTGGCCATGGCGCTTCCACTGCAAGGAGCAGGTGGGAGGTGGCACGGGGACACCCTGATGACTGCAGGGCGTGGGGACAGCGGGGACAGCCTGGGGCTGAGCCACCCTCAGTGGGATGTGAGGGGGTGGGAGGGCCCGGGACAGGGACCGGCACGGCCTGGGTACGGAGACAGACGAGGCCGGGCTGGGGCAGAGGGGGACAGGGGCACACAGGGATGGGGGCACACAGGGATGGGGGCACGTGGGGATGGGGGCACATGGGGATTGGGGCACACGGGATGGGGGCACATGGGGATTGGGGCACACGGGATTGGGGCACACGGGATTGGGGCACCGGGATTTGGGCACACGGGATTTGGGCACACGGGGGCGGAGGGCCAAGGAGCTCAGGCCGGGCCAAGCGACCCGGAGCGCAGTGCACGAATGAGGCCGGGGACAGCCGGGGGTCACCGGACCGCGCCGGAGGGGGATGTGGGCAGCGGGTCGGCCCGAAGCGAAGGGGGCACCGCGGGTCCGTTCGGTTCCGGTTCCGGTTCCGGTTCCGGCCCGGCCGCCGCTCACCTGCGCGCGCCGCCGCCACCTCGGCCCTGCCTGGAGCGGGCGTCAGGTGACCGCGGCGTCGTCACGTGGCCTTCGGCAGCCGCCAATCAGCGCCGCCCCCGCCGCCCGGCGGCGCGCGGCCCGTTGCTAAGGGCGGTGTCTGCGTGGCAACGGGCGGCTCCGGGGGCGGACCGGGAGGCCCGGGTTGCGCGGCCCGCACGGAGCGTGGGGCGCGGCGAGAGCCCGGCCGGCCGGCACCGCTCCGGTTCGGCGTCCCGAGCCCGGCGCCCAGACCGCGGCCCGCGGCTCCCGGCCGCCAGGTGGGGCTGCGGGGCGGCCCGTCCGGCTCCGAGCGGCGGCCGCGGGAGCGGCTCGGCCCGGCGCCCCGCTCGTTCGTAGCGCGGTGCGCCCGTCGGGTTCTTATTGCGATTAAAAGCCGAAGGCGCTCGGAGCCGCCTGTATTCCGCTCGGCCGCGCCGTACGAACGCGCCCGGTGTTTCGTGGCGAATCTGCGGATGCGTTTCGTGCCGCAGCGGGCGGCGCCGGGCGCGGAGCGGAGCGGAGAGCGGGGGGCGCCGCGGGGGTCGGCGGGGCGCCGCCTCCGGGAGGGAAACCGCGGCTGCGGCCGGAGGGCAGCGCGGAGCCGTCGGGGGCTGGCCGGCAGGACGGGGCGGTTGATTGTCCTGCTGGGCTCGGCTGGCTGTCTGTCTGCAGCGCTGCTGCCGGGCCTTCAGTACGGAGAGGGTCCGGAGGAGTCACGGAGATGAGCAGGGCTGCGCACAAAGACAGGCTGGGGAGCTGGGCTTGTTCAGCATGGAGAAGAGAAGCTGCGGGGTGAATCATTGCAGCCTTCAGCACCTAAAGGGAGCCTACAGACAGGAGGGGAGTCAGCTCTTGGGAAGGGGAGATGACAGCAGGACGAGGGGAATGGTTGGAATTGAGGGAGGGCAGATTTCAGTTGGATGTGAGGGGGAAGTTGTTTGCTGTGAGAGCGGTGAGGTGCTGGAACAGCTGCCCAGAGAGGCTGTGGATGCCCCGTCCATCCCTGGAGGTGTTCAGGGCCAGGTTGGATGGGGCCCTGGGCACCTTGGCTGCTGTGAAATGCGGAGGTTGGTGGCCCTGCGTGTGGCAGCGGGTTGGAGCTTCATCATCCTTGAGGTCCCTTCCAACCCCGGGCCATTCCGTGACTCTGTGAGCTCCCCGCAAGTGGGGAGCCGGGCGGGCGGGCACCGAGAGCGGAAGGAAGGCGGCGGTGCCGAGCTGTTACTTCCCTGACCGCTGGGTGCTGCAGGAGAGCAGCGCTGAGCTCGGTCCTGCAGGGCTCGGTCCTGCAGAGCTCCGCGCGGCGCTGCGCTGCGCTGAGGGACGGGGCGCGGACGGCCCCGTGGTGCTCGCTGTGCCCGGGGCTCCAGCCCGCCGTCCTGCTCCGGGCACCGCGGCGTCGCTGGGGTCGGGCGGCTCCGTCGCGGCCGCGGGGCGTGCCGGCAACCGCGCGGCTCGAGTCCTGGCGTAGGCAGCGCGGGAGCGCCGCGCTCGGCCACCCGTTGTCCGGTGGGGCGCCGGGCTGCTGTTGGGCCCCGCGGCGCCCCGCCGGGTGTTGAGGAAGCAGAGGTTTGCACAAGCCGGTGGGCTGCACGTGACCCGGGGAGCAAGGCAGGAGGAACTGCCGGCGCCCCGCGCGGCGCCTCGGGTCCCCGTGCTGCGCGGCTGGCCATGGCCCCCTGGCTGCCCACCAAGGAGGAGAAGTATGGCGTGGGTGAGTGGGGCCTTTGTGGCTGAGCAGGGAGCCAGGGGCTGCGGGGTGAGCAGTGCCGGGTGGGGCGGTGGCGATGCTCAGTAGTGAGAGTCGGGGGCCGGGTCCCCGCCGTGCTGCTGCTGGGTTTGGAAGGTCAGGGGCTGCAGGATCGAGCGTAGAGTGGATGGGGGCTGTGGGGCTGGTGATGGGATGGGCTGGGAGTCACGGAGCCAGGGGCCGAGCACCAGGGCAGAGTGTTGAGGCTGCACCTTTCCGAGGCTTGCTCAAGATCTGTCCTCCCCTCTGTGCTGGGACTTGGGCTCAGCTGCAGGCACATCTGTAGGGATGGTCCCCTGCACGGGGTGCTCGGCTCCTGGACTCTTCAGCTCATTAGTGACCGGTGCCATGGACTGTGCTCGTTTCTGATCTGCCTGTGGGGAGGTGCCTGTGCAGCCCAGAGCCAGCCCTGCCATTTGCCCCTGGGCCAACTTGGGGCTCTGCTCCCAGTCCCTGCTCCTGGTCCCTGCAGCGGCTGTGGCAGAGCCCTGGCAGCCTCAATCCCTGCCCTGGCCCCAGTCAGCCTCCCTGCAGCACCCCGAGGAACTTCTCTTTACACCACTCCTGCCCTCCCTGGTCTGTGCCTCTTCCCCTTTCTGGAGGGACCGTTTCCCAAGGCCCTGCCCTGTGCTGTGGGGGGGTCTGCCAGGGACCCCCTGGGCTTCCCTGTGGGAGGGCTGGGCCTGGCAGGGGGGTGAACAGGACTGGGGCCAGGGGCTGTGCAGGGTCCTCGTGCAGAGAGCAGGAGGGGTCCGTGGGGAGCTGAGGGCCCTCGGAGCTGCGAGGAGCCAGCATGGCCATGGGGCTCCAGCTGGGGGTCCCGGATGAGCCATGCAGATCTGGGAGCACTGCAGTCCCTGGGATGCAGGCTGGAGGTGAGGGGTGAGGTGTGAGGAGGGTCCCAGCAGGGAGCCACCAGCTGCAGGCACATCTGTAGGGACGGTCCCCTGCACAGGGTGCAGCCCGTCCTGTGGTCAGGGCTGCCCCCTCCCGGAGCCGCAGTGGAGTCATCACTGCAAAAATAGCAGCAGGAGCAGAGCGGCTGCTGCTGCAGCAGGAAGCACCCCGTGCTATTGCTCGCCCTGTGTAGGGCTGGGACTCTGTGCCTTGACCCCCAAAGCTCAGGGCTGAGCGATGCCTGGAGAGGTGGCTCTACCCTATGTGGGGGCCGAGTGAGAGGTACATGGCCGCGGGGTCTCTGCTGGGCGGGGGCAGGACGAGGAGCCCCTGCTCACAGCTCCTGGCCCCTCTCTCTGCAGCCGTGTGGAACTTTCCCAGTGCCAACGAGCATCACCTCCCACTGGAGATTGGGGAGACGGTGCACATCCTGCAGGCGTCCGAGGGTAAGGGGTCTCAGCTGGGCTGGGGCTGAGCTGCACTCGGACGGGGGTTGTCGGGCCCCAAGCCTGGCTTATGGTGAGCCCCTCCCTTCCCTTGCAGGCTGGTACCGCGGGTACTCGCTCAGGAACAGGGCTGCCCGGGTAGGTGAGGGGCACGGGGGAGGGCTCACCCAGCCCTGGCTGCGGGGGTACCCACTGGGAACACCGAGGGGATGGGGACCCCTGCTGGATGCTCACTCCTCGTGAAGCCCCCGGCCCGTGCCTATGGATAGCAATGATTGCTGCTCCCCAGGGCATCTTCCCGGCCTCGCTGATCCGCCTGAAGGGCGCGGTGGTGGAGCGCAGGGGGTAGGTATGGGGCAGGGGGGCAGCCCCGTGCTGGCAGCGGGCGCTGCAGGGCTCTGTGCCCTCCCCAGGGCGGAGGAGAGCGTGGTGCCCGCCGAGATGCCCATGGTGCAGGAGATCACCACCACGCTGCGGGAGTGGGCCGCCATCTGGAAGCAGCTCTATGTGGTGAGGGGAGGTGGGGGCGGGGGAGCACGGGGACGAGGCGGGGCCGGGGGTGACCCTGCACGCGGTGCTGCCCACAGACAGGGCAGGTGGAGCGGTACTGCAGGGTGAAGCAGATGATGTACGAGCTGATGGAGCAGCGCTCACAGCTGCTCTCGGGTACGCTGCCCAAGGACGAGCTTCTGCAGCTCAAGAAGGAGGTGACCAGCAAGATCGACTATGGCAACAAGTGAGAGGGGAATGGGGCTGTCCTCGTGTCCCCGCTGACCCGGGGTGGCAGGGACAATGCTGCGCACCCCACCTCACCAAGAGCTATTGCTGATGGGCCCGGGTTGGGGCAGAACACATCCCTGGTGCTACTGCTGTTCCCACCCCGCTGCTCTGCTGCCGGCTGTGATCTCCAGGACTGCCCTGCCCCGTGCCGTGCTCACAGCCCCCTGCCTGCAGGTCCTGGAGGGACACACAGCCCCACATATAGCCCAGCCGGGCTCTGGGTCCCAACCTCACCCCCCTCTGCAGGATCCTGGCGCTGGACCTGGTGGTGCGGGACGAGGATGAGAACATCCTGGACCCCGACAGGACCAGCATCATCAGCCTCTTCCAGGCGCACAGGAGGGCAGCACAGACCGTCACTCAGCGCATCCAGGAGGAGACGGTGAGGGTGGCACCGACCCCAACGTGCCACGTGCCCATGGCGCTGCACACAGCCCTGCCCCACAGCCCTGAGCTGCGTGTGGGGCTGAGCAGCCTCATGCTCCGCAGAGCTCGCAGCAGAGCCAGCCGGGCTGCAGCGCACGCCTGGCGGCTTCGCCCTCCCACAGCCTCTATCTCTGCGTGCGCAACTTCGTCTGCAACATCGGCGAGGAGGCGCAGCTTTTCATGGCTCTGTACGACCCGGGAGAGCAGCGCATGATCAGGTGCCGTGCTCCCCCTGCACTGTGGGGCCGGGCTCCCGTCCCTCTGTGCCCACCGTGTCCGTGCGGGGCGCCCCGGCCCCTCTGCGGGCTGCTCACACCGTTCCCTCCCAGCGAGAGCTACGTGATCCACTGGGCCAGTACGGGCGTCCCGCGGGACATCGAGCTGCTCAACAACCTGCGGGCCATCTTCACGGTGAGCCCCGGCCCTCGCCCACCCGCTCTGGGTCTGTGCCTGGGGGGTGGCACGCGTCCTCCCTGCCTTGCTGCATTGCAACACGCCCTCGATGCAGCGCTTGGGATGCACTGGGGCACTGTGTGCACAGGGATCCCCGAGCCTGTCACAGTCCACCCCCCCCCCCATGCATCCCACTCCCAGTTCTGCCCTTCTGCACTCTCTCTCCCGGCTGTCCCGTCCTCCTGTGTCCCACTGCAGGCCCTCTCCCGGCCCCCTGCCCACCCTCACCCCGCCGCCAGGCTCGTCCCGGTTTCGGCTGCCTGCAGGGAGCCGGGCGAGGAGCAGCTCCTGCTGACTGCGCAGGTTTCTGCTGCTCGAGCGAAGCTGCGCTGACCCTCAGGACGGCCCGAGCCATCGATATGCAGATGAGCCGGGAAATCAATGTAAATGAGCAGCATCAGCACTTCCAGCCGCACGGTCCAACTCCCCCAGCGATCGCTCCCCTCCGATCCCTGCCTGCGGCTGGCGCTGCGTCCCTGAGCCGCGTTCCCGTGCCGCAGCCCCACAGGGGCAGTGCCCATGGGATCTGGTCTGACCGGGGTGCCTGCAGTTGGGGTGTATGGCTGCTCCCCAGGTCCCATACTGTGTCAGATCTGTCCCACCTCGAGGTGCTTTGCCGTGCTGTCCGTGCCATGGGGACTCCCTGAGGCCATCATCTCTATCAGCCCACACTGTGTTGTGCACACAATCCCCGGCTCCATGCAGCAGCTTTGTGCCCTCTGTGGGGCACAGCAGCAATCCCTGGCCCCAAAAGCAGAGCCCTGCAGCAGCTCTGCACCCCATTAACCACACCCCCAGTTATCCTCCCAGGCAGTCGCAGCTCACCATGCTCTCCTGGCAGCAGAGCGTCCTCACTCAGTGCTCACACCTTGCTGTGTCCCCAGGACCTGGGCAGCAAGGACCTGAAGCGAGAGAGGCTTTTCCTGGTGTGTCAGATCATCCGGGTGGGCCGCATGGATCTGCGTGAGACCCTCAGCCGCAAGCTCAGCACCGGGCTGCGGCGGCCCTTCGGCATCTCGGGTGAGGGGGGCTCGGGGTGGACCCCAGCACCACACCAACCCCATGGGCAGCTGCCATACCCAGACCCCCCCTCACTGCTCTGCCCTGTTCCCTCTGTACTCACTTTTCCCCGTCGCCATCACTGCACTGGCTGGGATACGCAGGTGGTGCCAGCAGAGCCCCCAGAGCAGGGAGTCCCATGGAGAGGGGAGTGCAGGAGCTCCCCACACGCCACCCTGCCCTGACAAATGCTGCTGCTCTGGGTATTGATCCTCTTTGGTTGGGCTTGGTAGGAAATTATCGATTTTAATTGGCCAATTAGCGTGCACTAGGATCTTGGCCACGAAGTAATTACCAGGTGAATTATTAACATACCGGCAGCTAATTGCGCTCTGAGCTGAGCATGTCTCTGGGGAGGGAGCAGATGGATGGTCCTGGTGCTGCGCTGCAGCGCCCTGTCCCTGCTGCCTGGGGCTGCCACCAGTGTGGCCACACAGACCCTATGGCAGCCCTCCCTGCCATGGCGTTGGGTCCACCCCCCACAGAATTGCAGGCACAGCATGAGTTCCTGCCCAGAGCCTCGTGTGTCTCAGTGCCACCCAGCACCAGGGGGCAGAGGGGTTCTTGTGGGATACGGTGACACCCCTGGGAGTGGAGTCTGGGCATAGCAGGATCCGTGCTGGGATACAGGGCAGGGTTGTGGCTGCAGAAGGGACAAAGCAGTCCGTGCATGCGTGCAGGAGGGTTTGGCACAGGGGTCTGTGACAATGGGGCTGCATCCATGGTTGCTGTGTCTATACCATTGCAGTGATGGACATCACTGACATCACCAAGGGGAAGTGTGAGAGTGACGAGGACAAGCAGCACTTCATCCCTGTGCACCTGTAAGTCCCAGGGCTGAGGGCAGGCAGTGCTCTGGTAGCTGGGCTGGCATGGGGACAATGGTGGCACAGGGACAGCGATGACATGGGAACGGCGGTGGAGTGGGGCAGCAGGAGTGCCAGAAACACAGAACAGATACTGCTGGGAGCTTTGGCTTTGCAAAGAGATTGTGCATCCCTGGAGCACTGCGTAATCAGGATTAGGAGCTCTGTGGGGTTAGAAGAAAGGGGATTGGTATGGCCCATGAGTCACTGAGGGATACGGACCTTCCTGGAGCCCCAGTGGGGCTCTGTGGGTGTGAGGGTGTTGTGGTTCATCCCAAACCAGCCTGGGTGCTCTCCTGCACCTCCCTATGGGGGGGCTTTGCAGCAGGTGGGTGGGGAGCTGTGGGGGTCCGACTTGTTTTGCTGTTGTTGGTGGAGAGCAGCAGTGCTGTGTGAGCCCTCCCAGCTCCTCCTGGTGTCTGGCAGGGCGGCTGCTGAAAACGACTTCCTTCACAACATGATCAGGAAAGCAGTGGAGGGGAAGGACATCAACCACAAAGGACAAGGTAGCAGATCC